AATTATAAAACAAACACTAATTTACAATCTGTGATGAATAACAAATGATTTTTAACTGGGGTGTAAAAAACACTCCAAATGACCGCGTACACAAAAAAATGGCGCAACTACTTTCGGGTTAAATGAAAAAAAAATAAAAACCTGCTCGCAATCTCGAATAAATTTATATTAGATTCGGAGAATCTACCGGTGCACTCCGTTCAACATATCATTTTGTGGTTTCGGGAAAGGGATACATCTCGTATAATATCACACATGTAAATGTAGCAGCTCGTTCGTCTCACGCTCGCGCTTTGAGCGAGATAACGCGTCGTAAACCGAGGCCATTGTCTGCACACGGTGCGGAAGAGAGTCGCTCTCTGATAAATATCCGCTTCTTTTTCGTTTACACGGGCGCGAGCGACACACCGGTTAACATTGTTCGCGACATTTCTCGATGCAACATCCACTTGCAAGTGCATCGCGAAATGACGCACGATTTCACTCTGTTTTCCAGAGGCGACTGCTTTTCATTGATATATATTTACGATGTGTGCATCGAAAATCGATCGCAAATAATTAAGCCCTCTCCTGCGCCGCGCGCAGCTCGACCGCGATTTCTAACGACCTCTCATCAGGATACCGATAATAGGTGAAGATAGGTCGGCGATGACGAACCCCCGGAGGCTGTTCTGATTACCTACTTGCGCTACTACTAATCAACCGCCAACTAACTACGGCGGCTGTCGTGTAGGTGCATACGCGCGAGTGTTGTGTGTAATCGATTTACCATAATTAACGTCTCGCGGAAACCGGGCAAACGAACGGAAAATATCCGAGCTAACGGCCGTCAAATTTTCGCTCCAATCTCCGGCGATTTGGGAAATTGTGCGTTCGGCCACGCGCATATCGCGCGTGTGTCATTCACAATTACACATATTGTAGAGACATATCGAAAGCGACGCGTATATACAAATTGAATACGTTGTCGATCAAGTGTATTATTGGTCGCGACTACCGGAAGTCTGGAGTAAACGAGATTATAATACAATAGATATTTCTCCTTCGACTATACTATACTGCGTAACGTGTCTCGTTTGCAGAAACGGCGGTACGTAAATAACGCACCACGCACGCACGCACGCACGCACGCACGTGAGACACGCGGACGGCGAAGCTCGGTGCGCTCGCGCGCGCGGACACGCTTTCTGTTTTTACTTCACCTTTGGAACGGACTTTGTTACGCCGCTCAGCCGAATAATAATTCATTGCCTCGACTTTCCATTTCCAACGCGAATGACGTTCACTCCTGTGTGTGTGTGTGTTTGTCATACACAAAGGAGAAAAGAAATTATCAAAGGAATATCAACTCCTCTCCCGGAGTTTTTTCTTTCTTCTCTCTATTTCTTTCTCTTTTTTTATCTCCGCTTATTCACAAAGTAAACAATATGTATAATCTATGCTGCTAACTTTAGATCAGGGTGGCAAGAAAAAACCAAAGGGTGAAAAAAACCATGGTAAAATCCGGTTTTTATCGTCCTGGACTTTTATTCTTATGATATAAACTAGCAAAAACTATAAAAATGATTAGTGCATGTTATTAATACTAATATATATATATATATATATATATATATATATATATATATATATATATANTATATAAATATATAAAATGTACAATATTTATATATTTATATAATTTTATAGAAAATGTTTTGCTTTAATTAAGCAGATTGCTTCTATTATCTAGATGTAGGTTATCATATTGTTAAAATTTTTAATGTTATGTTCTAATTTTAATTATTATGTTTTTTCATTAAACTAAAAAATTACTTATTATTTTTAAAAAATTAACCTAAAAATTAAAAATTACTTTTATATTAACTATTAATACAAAATTTATTAACATTTATGTTATGTTTCTAAAGTTTTAAAAATTTCGCATATTTGAATATAACAAAAAACTTTATTATTATATCGATTTTGATTTGTTTTAGAAAACATTAATTTTTGCTGGTTTTTACCAGAAAATACCAGTTGTTACGACTGGCCTGGACTTTTTCCAAAAAAATTAGGAGTTTTGCCAACCCTGTTTTAGATAGGTATTGTTTTGATATATTGACTTATTTACCTTGATATTTTTTTCTCCTTTTGAAATATTTCGCAATCTTCTTTTAACTGCAATGTATACTTTATCAGACTCCAACTTTCTTTGTCTCTCTCACTTTCTTTCTCTTGTTTTAATTGTATAGATATATGTACTTTTTTATATTGCATTAATTACTTTCTTTGCGTGATTTACTAAACGAATTTAAATCCTAATTCTGTAAACCTTGACATTTATGTCTAACGCAATTTTTTATTGATTAAAACGTTGCAAAAACTGTAAAAATTGATAGGGGTTTTATTCACCACTCTAAAAATATAACATTGGTTTTGATATTTTTGTATATATATATATATATGTTTTAGAAATTTCCCTCAAGTAGTTTTTAAAGATAACTCATTTTTTTAAATCGGCTTAGAAATAAGTTCAGGAGTTTACAGGATAACGCTTAATCGATACGCTCGTCACATACTGTTCTCTGGAACTGTTTGTTCTACAAAAAAGTTGGCAGTATAAATTCCGTTCCATTTTATAATCTTCGTCGGTGCATCTTCGTTGCTATTCTCGTTCCGCGCGATGCTCTATTCCCTATTTTCCCTCCGGTTGGCAACCAGTCACATGACGTTCGAGCGATCACCTACTCGATCGTACATATATATGTCGAATCGCTGTTTAGACTTATCGGAGAATCAATTGACCGGTTCTGAGAACGCGAACACGGCCAGTGCGCGTGAACGTCACGCTCCTAGGACGCCGATAAATTGGACCCCGTAGCAAATATCGGAGGATGTAATAAAGGTCGATAATGCCAAGTCGTTGAATACGGATCGCATTTCGATCTCGGCAAATAACCGACGAACGATACAGCGACACACTGTATGATCGCGCGTTCCGTTTTATATACACATATATTCGCGCGACGACAAAATGAGCTTGAACGAGTGAGATCAAACAATCTCGAGAGCAGAATTAGATTTTTTTAGATTTATTAGATTTTGGATTGTTTTTTTTACAGAGATTAGATTTTTTTCACAATCTTTGGAAATATTTTAAAGAGAAACTTTCGATCGGTTTTTAAGTGTCTTCTCTCGTTTTGTTTAATTAAAACTCGTTGATTTTCACGTTTCTCGAGCGGAACGCGTGCTGGGATTGAGAGACGGCTTAGAAACTTTCAAACATGGCACGATGAGCGACCGCGTGACCGTTGAACAGGTACGACGGAGAACACCTTGACACAGAGGGTAGGGATACGGAGTTTATACACAAACACTCACACACATACACACACGCAAATACACGAGAGAGCTGACCGTCAGTCACAGTGCACCAACGTCGTCCGATCTCTCAGTATTTCTGTCTTCTCCATCTCTTCTCGTCGTGCATTCACGCACACACATACACACGCGCGCGTGCACTCGCTTTACCCGCCCACACGCCTCGCATCGCGCATAATAGCGCACGTGTATCAACGTGAAGCGAATAATTCGTCATGAATATTGTCTGTCGCACCGTCTCGCGAGCTTTCAGTGTCGTCTTGACGATTTTCCGTGCCCTGGATGTTAATGCGCGTGGAAATTGCACAAGATTTTTCTAAAACCATAACAGAAAAGAGAAAACAAAACAGGGGAAGATAAGACAAAAAGATAAACAAAAATGATCAGAAACAAGATATATGAGCGGAGCAAAAACACAGAATGTATGTGATCTATTGAATACAAAAAAACTCTCTACAGATGTTTCGATCGCATTTGGATCCTTAAAAATATCAGTATAAAAAACAATCAATCAAAAAAGTTGTCACAATTGTTAATTGTGGCAACTTTTATTTTATTAATATTTCAATTTTTTTTATCTTTTGCCCTTTGAAAAGACTTGGTTTTTCTACGGACTCGAGAAGCGAGGTTTGTGGTCGATGAACGGCAACCTGTGCCGACCTGACGACCTGGCGAGTCCAATAGACGTGTTGTACGGCGTCGTATAGTGTGAGTAGAGAAGAGTATTAGGCGTGTTTGGTTGCGTGTATATATGTAAGTGTGCGGTTTACGAGTGACCGGCCTTAGGGGAAAAGGAAGGAGATGAAAGTAGAGACCTGATTGTATACATATTGTGTGTGTACGTGTGAGCGAGAGAACGAGAAGGAAGAGTAGTAGGATAAAGAAATTATTAGGCTCCTATGTCGCACTTCTTCCTGTAGGTGGACAAACACGTAAAATAATCGTGAAAACTCGACCGACGAATTATTGTTTCCTTTACGTTATTTCCAAGTATTTGTTTTTCTAATTCAAGAGTTGAAATATGGTACGATATTTCTTCGGATTATGAATATTCGGTTGATAACCTTTGACCGCGTCGCACGTGGTTGGATTAAATAAGATCTTCTTGATTCTTGACCAGAAAACTGTTTATTTTATTTTATTTTTTTTCATTCACATCACAAATGCGACTCGATTTTATCCACTCTTTTTGCCGCGCACAATATTTGCATCTAGAATTTCCGAAATAATATCTAGGACTAAATGTCTTAGGATTGAATTGAAATCGAACGCGCGACGTGATAAGGCCAGGTCTCTCTACGCAGCTCTACGCGGGAGGTCGAGACGGGCGGAGTGCGGGGGACGATGTGCGATCGCAGGTATGTGGCAGTGGTGGTGAGAGGAGAGCCTATCGCGCGCGAGGGTGTGCGTGCCTATCGCGCGCGCGGAACGGAGCACAAACGCAGGAAGGCGAGATAGAGAGAGAGAGAGTAGTATGGGGAAGTCCGTACGCGTACGTACACACGCTTACACAAGCGCGACGCGGACAACGGCGCGCTCTCGTGATCCGCTCACGGTGGCTGAAGTGGAAGTGGAAGAGAGGCACAGCGAAGCGGCGAGGTGGCACGTTAGTAGTGCTGAGAGAAGCGGCGCTCGGTCGGCGGCTCACAACGCGCGCGCGAGTCTATCGCAAGACCCCGAGCGAGCGAGCGATTCCGGTCTCGGTTTCTTCGTTGTAAAGATCGCCGTCTTCATTGCGACCGCGATCTTTTGCTGTACAGCTACAAAACGCGAGTCTTCGGTGAAACGCGCGTTTGTAACTTGAAAAAAATTGCGTAATCCCGATAGTCCCATGTCCTTCTTGCTCTCTAGGATGGGTTAAAGATTAGAAAGAGCGTGTTTCTTCGCTAGTGTGATGATTGTTTGTCAGGTATATCAGTGACGTGACGTGACGCCGCGAATTTTCCTTGTGGTTTTGAAAAAGAGACGTGCGAGTGAGATTCCATCGACGACCTGTTCGTCCTTCGTCCTCAACGAGGGAAGGAGGAAAAGAGAGACGCGCTGGACGATCGAGTGAGAGAGAAAGAGCGAGAAAGGGCAACGTGTTATAAGCCGTCGAAGTCGTCGGCATTCTGGAGTCGTCTGCTCGCCGCGCTCGCGTTCAGGGCGAATGAACTGCGCACACCGGCGATGATAGTGTTCTCGGCGGCGCGGCGATGCGCGAGTAATGACGGAGCTACGTGACCGACCGAGCACGACCGGTGGTGATACAGAGAGAAAGAGAGAGAGCGGGGAAAGAAAGAAACGCAACGCATATCCAACCTCGACCTCCAAGTGTCGAGTGTGCGGTAGCGCGCGGCACCACCACGACGTCGACGACGTCGTCGCGTTACGCGTTTACGGTCAAACGTTTGCGGGACGTTGTCACGAATAAAAGACGAAATCTCGTGATAAAAACAACTTATATCTAGTATTATTCAGTAAGGCTGGCAACGAGCCGAAAACGGAGTACCTTGTAACGTACCAAATAGCGAAACGCATTTAGATTCGACGTGCAATCGTTCTCTCGCAAGATATTCGATTAACGGATTCACATACTCGTTAAGATTCTGAATATTTTTTTTTTGATAGGAAGATATATCGATCGCACGAGAGTGACGAAGATTGCGCGGAGCTAGAACGCGAACCGGAGTATGTAATCTCCGGATCTTGCGAGTTCAACAAGTGGACCGTCGCGCTAAAAAACTTGCACTGGATCATCCTCGAAAACCAGAAATCACGACGTTATCGTGTGACGTCACGTGTCGAACGGTGATTTCCCAGAAAGTGATTTCCTCTCGATTCGAGCATTTTCGACGATTGGAGTTCGACGACGATCGATTTCGGAGCGCAACAAGTTGAAGGGAGAAAGCACGTGGGATATTGCAACGCAACGCGCGCACGGATCACCCGAGGTGTGTGTCCCTTCTCCCGCCCCCGGTCCTTACGTAAGATTGCCGTGACGAACACGTTGATAACTTTTGGTCTCTCGTCGTTTGCCAACGTCACTGATAAAAGCGGCCAAGAGAGCGAGACAATATAAAGAGAACCAATCAGTCGACGATTGCGAGTCGTGACGCGAGCGTACGATATCTCGTTGCGCGAATCTCGCAGCGTAGAAGAAGATTGATCTCGAGAATCAACGGAACTCGCGGGTCGAGTTTCTCGCGCGGCCGAGAAAAAAAAACATTCGTCGCAGGTTTGCGATGCCGGTACTTAAAGTTGTGTGACACAGAAGTGCGATAGTCATCCTCGAAATTATATATTTTCGTCAAGAAACACAAGAAACTTACTTAACGGATTAAGGGCTCGGAAAAGAGAAAGAGATTAGGTTCGTGTCTTGTGGAGATTATTGAGTGCGGCGGGACCCGCCAAGCGATCTTGAATGACCTTCGTATTCTGCGGCTTCGTCTTCGACTCGTCCGACGAGAAGACGAGACAGATGCCGGTCGCTTCGGAGGACTGGACGCCCCACCCGGGCGCCAAGATAACCAGTTCCATTACCACCGTCAAGGGTGCCACCATACAGAGCACGACGACGGCCTGGATGTCGCCCTACAGCAGGACGACGCCACCGGATCGCGGTGGCTCCAACAATAACAACAATAACAACAACAATGGTGTGGTTATACTAGACGGGTGCAGACCGCCGGCGGCCACCACGGCCAGGAGGTTCTTTAGGTGGTTCAGCAGATTGGGGCAACCGCCGATGGGAAAATCAGGTAAAAACGCACGGAGTCGAACATTTGTTTCCGCGATGAGAATATCCGAGTTACGAAATCCGCGAATCCAACCAATAGAAGTCACACACTTGTTGCACGCATGTTCTTCGTTTAACCTCCTGAACCTGATATTTCAGTGATTTCATCGTGAGATCACCTACTGATCTTTGTGGAAACCAAGCAGAAACGCTGCATCGTTCGCGACCAGTAATTTTCAACGGTGTCGAACAGTACGATGGAAATTTTAATTTTCAACGTTAAATTTATCCCGATCGATTCTCGATCTCTTCTTTGCAATTAACGAGCTGCGGTTATTACGACGTTTGAAACTGTTAAATGTGACGTACCATAATCGACCGTGGCGTTTAATGCGCGATGGCTTTGAGATTCGCGACAAACCGGTAGAGCAACTTACGTTCGTGATTGTTTCAAATCGCGTAGATCAGGCCTCCCCCTTCTCTTTCTCTCTTTCTCTATCATCCACGTGTTACTGTTAGTCATCGCAGGTGCATCGTGCGCGGTAGTTGCCGTTAAATAGAAAAAAAAAGAACGTGTTCGCGCGCGAGGTGAATACGCGGTAATAGGTAATTGAGGAGAGGAGCAACGAGTATATACATTTATATACATATACATATTATATAAATATATACAAGCGCGACCACAGCACCACTCTTTAACGGTTCTTCTGTTACACGGATTTCTGCTTTTCATAACATACAGAGGCCGTTCGTTCGCATTTGCTTACGTCCATATGGCGTCGAACAAAGAAAACCGGCCAGATCTAAAACGAGTGACAAATGAGCACTTTGATTTGAACAGGTCTCATGTAGCGCCAGTAATGTACCAGGTGTTTGAATCTTATGAACCTATACCGACCCTCGAAGTGCTCGGTTCTTTTCTCTTTTTGTCGCAACAGTTGTACGATACAAAATGTTTCGCGCATTTCGCTGTAAAAGTTTGGTTAAGGCGATTCGGTTACGCTATCGGAACTAAATTGAAATAATTTCCAAACTGTTACGCCGCGCATCAAATTAAATTCGCACGTCTGTGTCGCCGTCAAGAATACAGAGTGTCGGAAAATCGCCCGCAATATTTTGGAAAGTAATTGGGGATCCAAAAAGAAGGAAAAAAAGTTATATAAACATAGGTTCGAAAATAAGTCGTTTTCGAGTATACCCACTTTTATGTCCGCTTTAGCATCCCTCAGTTTTTATTTTTTATTTTTTTAATTTTTCAATTAGTTTTTACTTTTTTTTTTCAATTTTTCGATATTTGTAAATACAATTACATTATCTTTAAAATCAAGGATAAACATACACAGGTATTTAAGTCGAATTAAATATGATGCTTAAAATAACCACCTTCAGCACGAATGCAGGTCCTTATTCTTTTATCAAATTTAATCCGAAATAAAGTTATTTATGTTAAAACACAACAGGTATTTATGTTAAAATACAATGAAATAAATTATGATTATGAAAAAAAATTACAATTTTTAAACATAAAAGTGACTATAACTTGGAAACGACTTATTTCTGGACTTATGTTTATATAACTTTTTTTTCTTCTTTTTGGATCTCTAATCATTTCCCGAAGTATTGCGGACAATTTTCCGGACACTCTGTATACTTTGGAATATTTTAAAATATATTTTATATTCTGAAATATATTTTATATATTCTAAAAATTATTCTTGATGAAGACACAGATGTGCGAATTCAATTCGATGCGCAGCATGACAGTTCAAAAATTATTTCAATTTAGTTCCGATAGCGTAACATCGCCTTAATTAAACTTTCGGGGCAAAAACAATATACACAATCGATTTCTTGCGTTTTCTCTTCTCGCACAAATTCTCCTTTTAATACGCATTAAAAAACACTACATCACGCGTGTTTATTTCGTTCTTACCGTGTGTTAAATTTTAAATCCGCGTTCTTTACAAAACCTTTCGAAACAATCTGTTATTATTCGCGTGTTGTGTGCGAGTTCGCCGTTCGTTAACATCGACTTTGAGAAATCGCGCGAGCAGTAGTGTAAGCAACTCTCGCGAAATTTTATATATATATATATATATATGTATATATATATCGGACGATGAACGACGCATTAACAAGCATCGTTTCGTGTTTATACAGCAATAATAATTGTATCGTATATCTAGCGCGCAGATTCTCGTGTTACTCACACAAGTTCCGCTGGGCGGCGAAAAGAAATCGCCTAATTAAATTTTATCGACAAAGCGTAAAATGAGGACTCTCCGTCGACGACCGACACGGGGCGCGCATTTGAAATTCGCGCAGAGCGAATGTTTCCTCGTGCGGAACCGGCGGCGGCTAATACACGTATACGTAACATATACATAACGGTCGCATTCGAAGCATTGATTTTACCACGCGCTTCGTTGAACACCTACGAAAATTAGGGTCGAATCTATATCCGAACGAAACAGCACTCTTCGATCTTTAGAAAACAAGCGCGTCGCATTTGCTGTTTTACAAATCCGCAACTTTTGGCTTTTCGCGATTATTTTTCAGAGGTTTTCTAAATTTATGTAAAAACATATATTTTTCGATTAGCAAATAAGGAAATAAGTTCGATATGCAAGTGTGCGGAAACTGTTTCAAACTACTTTTTCTCGAATCAACAACCTCAAATTTTCACGAGGAAATATCGAACTCCGTCAGTTGTTATTTAAACGGTAAAAAAAACTTCTCTATGTGATTTAACCTCTTTCGATCTCTCGTCTCGGTATGAATCTCCTCTGGAATAGTTTCGCAAATTGACGGTATGGAAATCACCGGTGTTTTTCGAGACCGATATTCTCGCTCCGGCGCGTGTTTCATAGCTCAAGTGGGTCGTACACGTGACGAAACACGAATCGTGCGATTGCGAGCAGGGGCTCGATAAATCGGCCCACACGTGTCAGAATCGAGTGTGTGTGTGTGTGTGTTACAAGCGATGGAACAAACTAGGGTCGGGCGGTTTCGAGTGTCGTAATAAACAGGGTCGGATTGACTACGTCGTTTATCGGAAACGGGAAATTTCCTTTTCTCGAAAAACAATTGTTTTTTTCCCCATTAGACTCGAGTCGAGTTTCTCAATGTCGTTTTAGCAAATCAAAATAAATATCTGATGTCATTTGACATCAAATTGTCTCACTTGGTACGTAAGTGTTAACCTTTCCATCTGCAGATCTAAAAAACAACCCACAAATACTGCAGACTAGATCTGTGAGGTCCACGCGATTTTAAGATCGAATATCTCTGCAAAACATCAATATTTTTTCAACTTCTTTTTCCTTGAATCAAAAGTTCCAACGATTCTGCGTCGACAAAAAAAACCAAATTGCTCTAGTAGTTTTTTCGAAGATATAAGCGTTAAAAAAAAACTAATTTTTTCTAGAAACGCCGATGCGTAATTTTTTAGTGGGTCTGAGAGACCCAGTTTGCAGATGAAGAGTTAAGTATATATAAATATATAATTTCATACACATTTTTATAATCTTATGTGTAATGCGCTTTGTAATTTTTATAACATCTGTATTATAATTTTCTCGTCGCTTGATTGTTGCAGCCCGAGAAGCGAATTCATATATTTCACACTCGAGCTATAACGGACGAGTCGCGATATATTCCCGATATTCATATTCTCTCTCTCTCTCTCTTGCAACACGACGCGAGTGCAACGCGCGCGCGATAACTGGGCCGGAAAGAGGATGAACCGTAAACTCGATAAATAAACATTAGACTCGACGGCACAAAACCAGGCCGCGTCGCCCTCGGCAACGGCATTCGCAATAATAATCGTCGCCTTGGTCTTCCTCGGCGAATAATATAATCGTCGCCTCGGTCTTTCTCGGCGAAGAGAAACGCGCACATCGCACGTACGTCTCGTCGGTGCGTGACGTGTCGAGGGCGCGACGTCGCGTATGTATACAGCGCGTCGCGATGCCGAAGTGGGTAACGTCGAGGGAGATCGGGACGCGTGAACGGGATTGTGTTCTGCTGGATGGAATTGTAGGATCTTCACGCTAGACACTCGCGCGAGATTGAAATTGCTATGCGTTAAAAGTAGGCTGCGGTCGGCCGCGCGCCGTTCTTCGCCGTTCTTCGCCGGATTCTCTGGCTCCGATATCAAAAAAGTATATACAGTGGATCCAAAAAGTATTTGTACACCTAGTTTTTGTATGATATCTTTATATAAACAAATGATACATTAAGAAAAACAGTATTCATTAATAATCACACAATTATATGCTGAGTAACATCTTTTAATAATGCGTTACAAAACATTAATAAAGGAAATACATAAATTTGAATGCCAAAAAAGTATTTGTACACTTACGTTTTACATAGGAAATACACAATTCTCTTAAAGTTTTTAATACTGTTGCGCGAGACCGTCCGGTATGCACGGCCGCGTTATTCGTGTGGCGAAAAGAAGAGAGAAGTTCCCTTGACAACAGGTGTTTACGGCGGCGTTCTGAGAGAAGACCGGCGACGTGTTGACGCGTTTCGACGGTTCGGGCGATATTTCCGTTTGTAACGAGTTAATAAAGCTCTGTTCTTAAACCGCGTCTTCTTATTCTCGCGGATTCGAGTAAGTTGCGCCGGGGAGTGCGGAGGAGCTGAACCGCGCGTGTAGGCGTAACAATATGAAACAAGTTTTTAATCTTGCACTCTGTGTTAAATTATCTCGCGACACATCGATATGCATTCGAGCATTCGTAATTTCTTCGATAAATGATAAATTTCCAACTTCATTTTAAGACATATAACCGCAAACTATTATGCGCATTATTATTAAATGTGGGTGTACAAATACTTTTTGGACCCACTGTAGAGACCGGTTCGTTTAAAATTCTTTTATGTAATTTCAAGGAGAAAAACGCTGAAGCAAAAACATCAAGAGTGAGTCGATATTCGAATCGTTCATAACAATTTTATTCCAACATGTGCGACGACAATATCGATGTGAAAAACTTCGCATCTCTCCGG